ACAAAAGAAAATTGTGATGCCCCACAAGGATATATTCCCAAGAAAAGGAAATCTCAAACATTCCGAGTAATTAGCCGACTCACCACGTCCCACGGTGGTGTCCTTAGGACCAAAGAATATGCAATAAAAAAGGGGGGAAACCGGGGGGGGGGGGGACCCACTGGAGCAGAGAGCATGAGTAATGAGAACAAACAGCGGCTATAAAAAGTATATTTTATTATCAAAAAAGAAACACAATAAAGAAGGCAGACGACCTCCACCTAACATAGAAGTTAAAAATAAATGACAACGTTGTCATGTGAAAGACAGCCCACGTACCGGGATCCCGGCCCCTCTGACATGCACACACTCACGCACAAGACAAACAGCCTCCAGAGAGGAATAGAATAGCTGGCACAGATGGAAATGATAGAGCAACTGAAAGATGAAAACAGTAATCAGGTCAGAGGAGAAAAGGTGTTGAATAAGTGTAATTCACTAAGGAAATATGAAAAGGCAACATGAACGGCAATGTCAGTACTCAAGAGATACCATAAACAGTGGATTTACATATATAGTACAGAGTCTTGGTCAGGACAAAGGTATCCAATGGGATGAGTGAGAGTAGATGTGATACACAGTGGCTCCCCTAGATGGGGGTAGAGGGTCACTGTATACTGCCAATTTCTCCAGTATTTGTCACAGCCACATACATAGGTGAATAGTGCACCTAAGGTGGCGCTTTATAGACAATAGAGGGACAGTGGATTGTAATGACCTTCAGATCACACAGTGGATGTAGAAATGTGTGTTGAAATCTTGAGTGGTTGAGAAGACACCATGCAGGGCTAGTGTGATATAGATATTACCAGCATTGATCCTATAGACGTAGTGATAACATACACAGAGTCCATCTGGGTACACTTGAGGTGTATTATATAAATGTCCATTCAATCTCCTGCTGAGGTGAGCAAATAGGAGGATATGCAGGGACATATCGCAGGCGAGCCCCAGGTCCTAGGGATAGGGGGAATCTTGGTTCAGACAACTGAAGGCAGGAGAGGAGGAAAACCCCGAAGAGTTGACCACCAACCCTGGAGGGGAGGAGAGCCCTGTAGGGCCGACCACTCTGGGAAGTGTCTGTGCCCAGCACAGTACCCAGGGGGGCATCTACTCACTGATTCATGGAGTTTGGATGTAAAATTCCCAAGACAGATCCTCTTCTCCAGAAAAGTGGGGAGGCTGTCACAGCACTGTGACACGGACTCTGGCGCCTGACCATATTTGCCTGCACAATATACATCACCTATACATCAGTTTTTTTTTTTCTAACAGAACAAAAAAAAAAAAAAAAAACCTGGAGTAGAACAAAAATAAAAATAATTGTGAAAAAAGGGGGGAGCAACCATTTTAGCTGCTCCACAGTTGCATGTAAACATGTAAATACAGAAATCAACATTTTTTATTTTTTTTTATTTTAAATAATGTTTTAATGTATACAAAATCTATACAAAACACCCATTAAAGGGTGTGACATTGGTTCTCTCAAAGATGTTAAATTGGCCAGTGCTAACCTGGATGGCCTGCTTTTATAGGCAGTGAAACTAAGATGTTTGTTTAATCGAGGATTTCTGAAAGCTTTTAAATTGTAAGTTCATCTACTTTCTCTCTCTAAAATACTTTTATCAATGTCCTCTCCTCTCAGATGTGGAAGCATATGATTTAATGCCATGAAGTGTAAACCAAACAGCTGATATTTATGGCTGTTAACAAAATGGTACGCCACAGGGATCACAAGATTTCCATTTTTAATGCTGCGAACATGATCACAAATTTGTTGCCAAAACTTTAGTTTTACTGATGTAAAAAAATTAATTACATGGGCAATTGAGTAAATATACTATGCCAATTGGCTGGCAATCTTGCAATCATCATACAAAATGTTATGGCATAAACTATTTTCCGTCTGGTAGCAAGGGGATAAAATCTTCAGTAATAAATTAACAATATGTACAATTGACACATGCAAATGTGCCAAAGGGCAGAGAGACTCATGGATCCGGTTTAGGAATACTTTCATAATGCCTTGAAACCATGAGGACTTTAATTGATGTATTCCTTCGAAATGTAATTTTTGGTATAGGATTCACCAGCTCACCCGCTATTTCATCTTCATTTAAAATATACCAATATTTTTTAAGAACATTACACATACCATCAGACTGATTATTGAAAGTGGTAATCAAGCTAGTTTTTTGGGTTCAATTGTCTCTTTTCCCTTAGAACAAAAGAAGGTCCCGAGGACTAGTTTTAGCTTTCCAATAGGCTTGTTTCAAGAATTTATTACTGTAACCCCTGCTACAAAAATCGCTCATGTAGTTTAATAGCCTCCTCCTCAACTGTTTCCAAATATGAACAGCTCCTACAAATTCTCATATATTTTGCCCACGGAAATTTCATTTATTAAATGTCGTGGATGTGCACTGTTTGAATGTAAAATTGAATTGTTTGCGTTTTTTTTTTTTCTTTTAATTGAATTGAAAACAAAAAGCTCCTGCGCATGAGTGTGGGGGGGCTGGTGGTCAGATAGTGTATGCATGTTTATAAAGGAAAAAGGGATCAAAATGGCCTTGCTGCCCTCAACTGACTGGGGTAATCCAGAAGCCACTGCAGGAAAAGAAGAAGAAAGAGATGGTGCAGTGGGCCTAGCGCACTATCCCAGAGTAGTTTATTATGTGTTAAAAACATAATTATACTCACAAACTAAGCAGAATTAAAGCAATATAAAAATGTTCAATCGATAGTCTCATTGGCGGGTGAGACCTGGATGGGTATTACGCCAGGTGAACACTGTCTGAGAACCCTCGCTGGCTTACGCATTTAGAGGGCAAGCCCACTTGCCTAGAGCCCAAAAAAACCTTGCAGCAAAGTTATTAGCCAACCCTCTGTAAATATATACAGGTCAAGAAAGGGTAATGTATTGAAATGATAACGTAAGGAAGAGATTAAATGGGTTCATATTCAGCGCCTCTATGAATTGTTTTAGCAAATCCAGTGCTAAAGTCCAAAAAATAAAGATGTTGTCAATGTACCTCTACCACAATTCCACATGGTGGACATCGACATCCCATTAGAGGAGAAAGGCCAACGCTCCAATCCCCCCAGGTACAAGCTGGCATACGATAGGGCACATGTAGTCCCATCGCCACTCCCTGCACCTAGGAGCAGTGGGAGCAGTTGAAAACAAAAACGTGCGATGAAATGAAATCCAATAAATTCCAAATAAAACAAATACATTCTTATTATTCTGTGTCACGTTCCTTATGGAATTTTCCCACCATGGGTACACTTTCCCTGTGTGAAGTATTAGAATATAGTAACTCTTCATCAAATGATATCGAAATCTATTACTAAGTAGAATGTTGCCTCCTTTATCTGAGGGTTTTACAAGAATGTCCTTTTGTTACTGTAATTTCAACAACAGTGTAGTCGCTGAGACATATTCATTGTGCCTGCCTGACATGACATTGTCTCGATGTCCTTTGTAACCAATAAATCCACTTTGGTATTTGTTTAAGTGGGAATTATTTTTTTTTTCTTTTTAAATTGCTTCACCAGGAGATTACGTCCTTCACGTCTAGAAGGTGTCCAGACTGGATCATGAGTGGGGGTTAATTTCAATAAAAGATTACAGGGCATTGAGGATCATTACCGAGTTGAAGAATGAGTCAAGGGGGACCTCAGGTTCCACCTCCACTCATGATCCTGTCTCAAGGGTTGGATACTAAAATAAATGAACATCTTAGTTTGCTGCTTGTCTTTCTGTAAAGCAAGGCATCCAGGATAGCATACCACTGGCCAATTAACTTCTTTGAGTGAACCAATGTCACACCAGCTAATGGGTGTTTTGTATGGATCTTGTGTACATTGTAACATTACAATAAAAAAAAAAATCTGATGGTGATGTATTTACATGCAATAGCCTAGCAGCTAAAATTATATTGTCACAAGTCTTTTTTTGTTCTACTTCCATTTTTTTTTTCGTTCTGTTCTCAGTCTTAGTCTCTTGTTCTTTTGTTTCTCTCTCCCTTCCCTCCCATGCCTTGTGGAGTGGCATTTTGCAATCTTATCAATCACATTGTTCTCCAAGGTGCCCGTTCACATCAATGCAGCACCGTATGGCACGTTTTTCCATATATTTAATTGGAAATGCACCAAAATGTATGTACAAGCAATTCTTATGTGTTTTTGCAAGTTAAGTCTCCTTAACCCCTTCATGACAAGGGTAAAAAAAACATGGGTAACAAATCCTAATGCCAGAACACAGTTTTGTAATTTTGACATGTATTAGTACACTACCGTATTTTTCGCTCCATAAGACGCACCTGACCATAAGACGCACCTAGGTTTTAGAGGTGAAAAACAAGAGAAAAAAAATATTCTGAACCAATGGACCGCAGACACAGTACAGGGGATGACCAGAGACTGCGGACACAGTACAGGGGATGACCAGAGACTGCGGACACAGTACAGGGGATGACCAGAGACTGCGGACACAGTGCAGGGGATGACCAGAGACTGCGGACACAGTGCAGGAGATGACCAGAGACTGCGGACACAGTACAGGAGATGACCAGAGACTGCGGACACAGTACAGGAGATGACCAGAGACTGCGGACACAGTGCAGGAGATGAGCAGACTGCGGACACAGTGCTGGGGATGACCAGAGACTGCGGACACAGTGCAGGGGATGACCAGAGACTGCGGACACAGTGCAGGGATGACCAGAGACTGCGGACACAGTGCAGGAGATGACCAGAGACTGCGGAAACAGTGCAGGGGATGACCAGAGACTGCGGAAACAGTGCAGGGGATGACCAGAGACTGCGGACACAGTGCAGGGGATGACCAGAGACTGCGGACACAGTGCAGGGGATGACCAGAGACTGCGGACACAGTGCAGGGGATGACCAGAGACTGCGGACACAGTGCAGGGGATGACCAGAGACTGCAGACACAGTGCAGGAGATGACCAGAGACTGCGGACACAGTACAGGAGATGACCAGAGACTGCAGACAGTGCAGGGGTTGACCAAAGGTTGCGGACACAGTACAGGAGATGACCAGAGACTGCGGACAGTGCAGGGGATGACCAGAGACTGCGGACAGTACAGGGAATGACCAGAGACTGCAGACAGTGCAGGGAATGACCAGAGACTGCAGACAGTGCAGGGAATGACCAGAGACTGCAGACAGTGCAGGGAATGACCAGAGACTGCAGACAGTGCAGGGAATGACCAGAGACTGCAGACAGTGCAGGGAATGACCAGAGACTGCAGACAGTGCAGGGAATGACCAGAGACTGCAGACAGTGCAGGGAATGACCAGAGACTGCAGGACAGTGCAGGGAATGACCAGAGACTGCAGACAGTGCAGGGAATGACCAGAGACTGCGGACAGTGCAGGGAATGACCAGAGACTGCAGACAGTGCAGGGAATGACCAGAGACTGCAGACAGTGCAGGGAATGACCAGAGACTGCAGACAGTGAAGGGAATGACCAGAGACTGCAGACAGTGAAGGGAATGACCAGAGACTGCAGACAGTGCAGGGAATGACCAGAGACTGCAGACAGTGAAGGGAATGACCAGAGACTGCTGACCTTTGGGGAGGGAGGGGGAGCGGGTACCTGAATTTGACAGGTACCCGCTCCCACTTCCGCGGAGTTGTCCTTCCCTCTTCTTCCCGGGCCGGCTTCTTTGACAGCCGGGTGCCCACTGCGCATGTGCGAGAAGCGCTGCGCTATGTGAATGGCCCGGCGCCTTCTGGGACCTTTCATGTGTCCCAGAAGACACCGGATCATTCACAAAGCACAGCACATGCGCAGTAAGCACCCGGCTGTCACAGAAGCCAGCGCGGGAAGACTGTGCAGCGCTGGAGGGAGGAACAGGTAAGGCCCTGCAGGAGACAACAGCTGAGCGGCCAGCCCGGTATTCTGACATGGTGGCCGCAAAAATACCGGACCGGCCGCTTTATATTCGCTCCATAAGACGCACTGACATTTTCCCCCCTTTTTTGGGGGGGAAAAAAGTGCGTCTTATGGAGCGAAAAATACGGGAATAAACTGTACAGTACATATCACTGCAACCATTTAATGTATCCAGGTGGATTATACCTTGTTCTTTTCAGAACAAACTGAGATTTCATTTGGAGGAAAATGGTATGGAATATCTCATTTTTTTATCATCAAAGAAAGGGTAATGTATTCAAATGATAATGTAAGGAAGAGATTAAATGGATTCACATTCAGGGCCCCCACGAATTGTGCTAGCAAATCCAGTGCTCAAGTCCAAAAAATAAAGATGTCGATCAATTCCACATGGTGGCCATCGACATTCCAGTAGAGGAGAAAGGCCAATGCTCCAATCCCCCCAGGTACAAGTTGTCATATGATGGGGCACATGTAGTTCCCATCGCCACTCCCTGCACCTAGAGGTAGTTGGAGCTGCCGAAAACAAAAACATGCAATGAAATGAAATCCAATAAATTCCAAATAAAACAAATTCCTATTATTCTGTGTCACGTTCCTTATGGAATTTTCCCACCATGGGTACACTTTCCCTGTGTGAAATATTATAGTAACTCTTCATCAAATGATATTGAAATCTGTTACTAAGTAGAATGGTGCCTCTTTTATCTGAAGGTTTTACAATAATGTCCTTTTGTTGTTACATAGTTACATAGTCTGGCTGAAAAAGACAAAAAGTCCATCCAGTTTAACAATTAAAAAAAAAAAAAAAAAGTTATAATCCTATACCCACAGTGGATCCAGAAACCTTTCTGTGTTTGGAGATTAAATTTCTTTTCCTCCAGACGTAGAGTGTCCCCTTGTCCTCTGTGAGGACCTCAGGGTGAATAGCTCTATACCAAGTTCACTATATGAACCACTGATGTATTTATACATGTTGATCATATCCCCCCTTAATCTCCTCTTCTCAAGAGAGAATAATTCAGTTTCTCTAATATTTCCTCATAGCTGAGCTCCTCCATGCCTCTTATCAGTTTAGTTGCCCTTCTCTGTACTTTCTCAAGTTCCCCAATGTTCTTTTTGTAAATTGGTGCCCAAAACTGAACTGCATATTCCAGATGAGGTGTTACTAATGATTTGTACAGGGGTAATATGATATCTCTCTCTCTGGAGTCTATACCTCTTAATACAAGAGAGGATTTTGCTCGCTTTAGAAACCGCAGCTTGGCATTGCATGCCATTAAGTTTGTGATCTACCAGAACCCCTAGATCCTTCTCCACCATTGATTCCCCCAGTTGTACTCCCCCTAGTATGTATGATGCATGCATATTCTTAGCCCCCAAGTGCATAACCTTACATTTATCAACATTAAAGCTCATTTTCCACATAGTTGCCCAAATAGACAGTGCATTGAAGTCAGCTTGTAAGTTAAAAACATCCTGTAAGAATGTTATTCCACTGCACAGCTTGGTGTCATCTGCAAAGACTGAAATGGTATTTCTAATCCCAGACCCTATATTGTTTATAAATTTATTAAAAAGTAAAGGGTCCCAACACTGAACCTTGGGGTACACCACTGACAACCCTATACCATGCAGAGCATGAATCATTAACCACTACTCTTTGAATACGATCTTTTAGCCAGTTTTCTATCCATTTACATACGGATTTTTCCAAGCCCCTAGATTTTACCTTACACATTAGCCGTGTGTGGAGAACTGTGTCAAACGCTTTTGCAAATCCAAGTATACCACGTCCACCAGATTTGTTTGACAACTTCTGTCTTTCATGAATCCATGCTGTCTGTTGCTTAAAATATTTATTTCCAGCAAGAACTCATCCATGTGGTCCTTTATTAAACGCTCCAGTATCTTCCCAACAATAGAAGTTAAACTAACAGGTCTATAATTACTTGGTAAATATTTTGACCCCTTTTTAAATATTGGCACCACATTGGCCTTACGCCAATCCAGTGGTACTATGCCAGTCATTAAAGAGTCCCTAAAAATTAGAAACAATGGCTTTGAAATGACACAGCTCAATTCTTTAAGGACCTGTGGGTGTATGCCATCCGGTCCAGGTGCTTTATTCTGTCTAAATATTTTTGGAACATATTAATTGTGAGCCAATTGTTGTAATTTCAACAACGCACAGTGTTGTCGCTGAGACATATTCATTGTGCCTCCCTGACATGACATCTTCTCAATGTCCTTTGTAACCAATAAATCCACTTTGGTATTTGTTTAAGTGGGGATTTTTTTTTTAATTTCTTTTTAAATTGCTTCACCAGGAGATTACCTCCTTGTTGTTCTTCACGTCTAGAAGGTGTCCAGACTGGATCATGAGCGGAGGTCGATTTCAATAAAAGATTACAGGGCACTGAGGATGATTACTGAATTGAAGAATGAGTCAAGGAGGACCTTAAGTTCTCCTTCCACTCATGATCCAGTCTCAAGGGTTGGATAATAAAATAAATGAACATCTTAGTTTTGCGGTTTGTCTTTCTGTAAAAGTAGGCCATCCAGGATAGCATAGCATTGGCCTGGCCAATTTAACATCTTTGAGCAAACCGATATCACACCCGCTCATGGGTGTTTTTGTATGAATCTTGTGTACATTGTAACATTATTACAAAAAAAAAAAAAAAAAAAAAATCTGATGGTGATGTAGTTACATGCAATAGCCTAGCAGCTAAAATTAGATGGTCACTCCACCTTTTTCACAATTCTTTTTTGTTCTATTTCCATTTTTTTGTGTTCTGTTCCCATTCTTAGTCTCTTGTTCTTTTGTTTCTCTCTCCTGTCCCTCCCATGACTTGTGAGGTGGCATTTGTGCTCTCCTTTCATTTTTGTGTCACTTTCATATTTGCAAAAAACTTATTTTGTACTTTATGAAGTTTTTTTATTTTGTCCACTAGATGTCATTGTACATAGTGTTTGGTATCGGGAGTGTCTTTAACTAGTTGTTTAGTAAACGAGGGATTGGTACAAACAGATATCCAGTGACTGTGGTGTCCTCTTGTTACGGGTTTAGGCCCAGAGGATTTGTGCTGCACAGCCTTGGGTTCTGTTTCTAGTAGGGGGAGGAGTATAAACTGAAGGAGACTTCTTTTCTGGCCTACCATGCCAATGGGTGGCAGAGCTTGTGTGGAGGAACAGCTGGCCGCAATGCCCTGATTTAGGCGCGTTCGGTGGCAGCTCTAGGGGATGGGAGACCGCGGCTTGCCCAGCCCATATATAGGCACTTTTGGCTTTAACTGTGAGACGCTAGGGTGCCATGTTTGCAGAGATTGGTGGTATGCTGGTTTGATGGTAAATAGCAAGCTATATTTTTTGTTTAGGAGTTCTTGTTTTGCCTGGTTTACATTTAGTACTTACGGATCCCTTGAAACATATACTGTACATACTTTTGTTACAGTGACCCTACAGTATGTTTAGATGTATAGGGATCCTTATATAATATAATGTACATTTGTGTTCAAAATAATAGCAGTCAGACATCACTAACCTGATCAATCACTGTTTTTGGTAGAAATATTTCTACATGGCAAATTATTTACTAGCAGGTGTAGTAGAGTAATAGAAATCCAATAGACCCAACAGTCATAACATGCATGCTGCTGATTCTGTGTTATTGAATCACTAATTGAAAGGGGCATGTTCAAAATAATATGTGTAGAGTTCTATTAGTGAGGTTATTCATTCTTTGAAAAACAGGTGGAAATTATTGCCCTTATTTAGGGAAGGAAGGCAGCAAATGTTGTACATGCTGGTTACAGTGCATTTCTCTCTGAAATTCTGAGGAAAATGGGCCGTTCCAGACATTGTTCAGAAGAACAGCGTACCTTGATTAAAAAGTTGATTGGAGGGGGGAAAACATATAAAGAAGTGCAGAAAATGATAGGCTGCTCAGCTAAAATGAGCGCAAATGCTTTAAAATGGCAACCAAAACCTGAAAGATGTGGAAGAAAGCAAAAAACTACCATTCAAATGGATAGAAGAATAGCCAAAATGGCAAGGACTCAGCCAACAATCAGCTCCAGGAAGATCAAAGAAGGTCTAAAGTTACCTGTGAGTACTGTTACAATTAGAAGACGCCTATGTGAAGCCAAGCTATCTGCAAGAAGCCCCCGCAAAGTCCCACTTTTGAAAAAAAGACATGTGCTGATGAGGTTACAATTTGCCAAAGAGCACATTGACTGGCATAAAGAGAAATGGCGCAACATTTTGTGGACTGATGAAAGTAAGATTGTTCTTTTTGGGTCTAGTGGCCGGAGACAGTTTGTCAGACGACCCCCCAAACACTGAATTCAAGCCACAGTACACTGTGAAGAGAGTGAAGCATGGTTGTGCAAGCATCATGATATGGGGATGTTTCTCATTCGCATACCAGGGATCATGGATCAGTTTGAATACATCAGAATAGTTGAAGAGGTCATGCTGCCTTATGCTGAAGACAACATGCCCTTGAAATGAGTGTTCCAACAAGACAACGAC